TTGTCGGTCAGCAGCGGTCTGTCCGCCGCCGGCCGCCGTGTCGCGGCTCTCAGCAGAGGCGTCCGGCGCGCCGACCAAGCATTCGACCATAAACACAACTGGCAGCGGCGGGTGGGGCCGACGCGGCGCGCGGGGCTCCGTACGGGGGTCGCACGCGCGCCGCACGACCCGGCGACCTTCGAGCGCGGCGTCTGCGCGGGCCGGCCGGCGGCTGCCCCACGCGCTGACGCGACGGCTCGGCCGAACCGCTGCCGACACACCTCGACAAGTGTCGACAAAGGTCCGGCCAGCCGCCGCCGACGGCAGGGCGTGGGCGACGCACGTCTGTCCGATCGGCGGGGCTCTGTCAGGTGAGCCGGTTGGACGCATTTAGTGTACCTACGCAAGCCGAGGATATAACCAATTTTGCATATAAGCCTTTATGCAAAATTGGATTGTGACTTGTGAGACAAGGTAACCACCAAACCAGAGTCTTATTTGGGGTGGTCGTGCGTTGCATTCTGTTTTCCTCAATCAGCGGCGTATTTAGAAAATCGCGAAGGGGGGGGCCAAGGGTTTGGAGGGCGCCACCTCACCCAAGGAGGGCGCCATACGGTCGCGAGATAAAAAAATCGCTCAATGGGGGTTGGGGGGTTGGGAGGCGTTTTTTACCATGCCACCAGTTTTTTTTTTTTGCGTAACCTCGTATAGGTCGTGCTGCATTGATTTTGCATCGTGTGTATTCATTATACTCCAGGTCACAAAAGGTCAAGTGTTCTTGAAATGCTGCGCCGAAGGCGCGCGAAATTTTTGAAAACAACCTTTTCCTCCGCTTTTTAGGCACGCCTTTTATACGATCACTGTTCAAAGCTCCTCTCGCTCTTTTACCAAATTTGAAGGTGTAAAAAATACCTAAGGTTTGGTCGGGCCGCTGCCACACAAACTGTACAGAAAGCTTGGCTCATGGGTGTCGATGTATAAAAGTTTATTGGCGGTGGCATATCTACGCACCAGATCACCGTATCGGATTGATACCGGAGCGCGAGATGCGTAAACATCATCCAAATTACCTCAGACCAGCCTTCATAGCCTTCTCACAGATGCATACACACAGTGTACCCACATAACCAGTTTCAATCACCGAAACTTCAGATGCCTGCTGTTGCGCCCGAACCTGTTGACAATACTTAATCGTAATCCATATAGATGCCATGATGCACGTAAAGTAGGATCAATCCGTTAAGACCAAAGACGTGTTTTATGCATCGTAGAGCGTAGATAGTTTTGGTAGGTATAGATACTTCATTCATTGTGCTGAATGCACGTTCATTTGTGGCAGTTTTCACAGGCAAGACATCAACTATGTGCAATAGAACGACTAAGTTGAAAAACATGCCAAAGGAGTAAATAAATGATAGGAGGGCAGCGATCAACGGATGTTGCCAATAGGTAGAAGGGCTGCGATCCACAGGAGGGCACTAATAGGTAGAAGAGCCCCGATCAACATCCCGAGTTTCGACAGTAGGGCACCGATAGGTAGGAAGTTGGCGAGCAGCAGGAGGGCGCCAATGGATAGAAGGGCAGCGATCAACAGGAGGGCACCAATAGGTAGGAGGGCGCCGATCAACAATCAACAGGAGGGCGCCACCAGGTAAGAGGGTGGCGAGGAACAGGAGAGCACCAATAGGAGGGTGGCGATCAACAAGAGGTCGCCAATAGGTGGGAGGGCGGTCATCAACTGGAAGTCGCCAATGAGCGGAAGGGTGACGATTAAAATGGGGGTGGCAATGGTGAGGAGGGCGCCTTTGCTCAAGAGGATGACACGAACAGGAGGGCGTCTGTGCGGAGGGCGCTGGTCAACAGGAAGGTGCCAGTGGATAGGAGGGCGGTGATCAACAGGAGGGTGCCAGTGGTTAGGAGGGCGGCGATCTACACGAGGGCCCCAATAGGAGAAGGGCCCCGATTAACATTCAACAGGAAGGACTAGGGAACCAATAGGTAGGAGGGCGGCACTGAACAAGAGGGTGCCAAAAGGGAGAAAGGCGGCCTTCAAAATTTCACATGAGGGCTCAATAGGTAGGAGAGCGCCAATAATTATGAGGACGCCGATCAGCAGAAGGGCGGCAATGTGTAGCAGGGTGGCGACCTACAGGAGGGCGCCTTCGGGTGAGAGGGCGTTTATTTACAGGACAGCGGCTTACATAGGCGACCACCGTTACGCTTAGAGAGCTACAGCCTACAAATGTGGTTGGAGGGCGCCCGAGGGAGCCCTCCAACCGTATTTGGAGGGCGTATTTGGAATGGGCGTCCTCCGAGGGCGCCCTCCATCCGTATTTTCCCTGTAAACACATTCGCGATTGGAGGGCGCCCTCCAGTCGCGATTGTTTTTCGATTCGATTATATCACAATTGCATTTGCGATTGGAGGGCGCCTTCGGCGCCCTCCAATCGCAAAGGGCGCCTTCGGCGCCCAAGGGGGGGGCCATGGCCCAGTGGCCCCCCCCCTGCCTACGCCCCTGTCCTCAATGGTGACCTCTGGTCAAGTGACTGACCGCGACTTCTACCTGAGTCATGCAAGAGTATGGCACAGATAAGACGCATGAGTATGCAGTTCAGCGTCTGAATGGCGCGCACGCAGGCCACTGCCTTTCGTGCCGTGCCGGCCTATCATATAAGGGAAAGATCCAGACCTATGACGCACGTTACACCTGTGACGCCTATGAGTTTGACGATCAAAAGTCCGGCCAGTGATGCTTCTGGGGTAACATTATTGCCGATTTATTAATAGAAACATTTATAAGCTTGCAATAACATCGAGGTTATTGTTTTATGGACTATGCTGAGTGGTTGAACAATCCGTTGAATCTCTCGACATGTAACTGAAAAAATGCATTCAATAAAACTTCGATAGAGATGGTCTCCTTACGTATAAAGTGACTATTTAGTAATTACTAATTACATACATAGTTGCAAGATATTTTGATGTGCATGAGCAAAGTGCAGTCCCCAACTCATAACCTACTGGTAAGGTGCAAAGTTACAAGATTCAAATCATTTTGACAGAAATGAACAAAATGCATTCCTGGGCACATGGCACCGTCTAGTGCTACTCTATGCCTTCTACTTGGACAAATATGCTGACAAAAAAGAGCCTTTTTGTGTCGGATAGTGCAGCAATGAGACGATCAAAAGTTATGAGTCATCTGCGGGCGCTACATGAGCCATAGGGTACAACCAGCATACAGCACTCGTTGCACATCGATACATGCGAACATCTTATGCCCTGAGCCGTGCACCGTAAGTGCATTTGCACTGACCATGCATTCCCAGTAAAATATGCAGGCGGCGTATCATTTGCAAAACCATCAAGGGGTCCCCAGCTACCAGTGCGATTATGATGATGACCACTTGGGGCTCAGGGCGTTCGGACTGTGGAGGTCATCGGTGCATGCAGCTGCAAGTGCCAGAGAAGCAATAATGCGGCAATAATTAGTAGTTAATTTGCATGCACTAGGACTCCAAAATGCGGCCCGTCCATTTCGCTTGGTGTCGGATGCCTAAGGACAGGTGGCTCGCTGCGACAACACCTACAGGTGGGGACATTCTCTTGGCACGTCAAAGGTCAACTGACGCCAGCGGTCTGCCGCTGCTGCACCGGCCGCGGGAGCCGGGTGCCGCTGCGAGTGCCGGCCAGTGGAATCGGCGACCTTTCGACCGGCGCCGCCCGTCAGAGCCCCGGTGTTTACCCTGTAGCACGCTGCTGCAGCCGCGCCGATGGCGTAAAAACGGCGCCGCGGTCTGACCTCGCAAAGCCCGTCCATTAAACGGTATTCAGAATCCATACAGCACCTCGCGGCTGTCGAACGCGACGATATGGCTGACGCATTACGAGGGCGAGCGTCACGCACCATATGTGCGACGCGACGCACGTGGTAAAATGTGACGTAAGTACGTGACCTGCGTGACGCAGTATCGCCGCATTAGTAATATGCGTCATCGTACTCTTCAGTCACACTTCCTAGAATAAGCGAGCGGGTTGGAACACCGGTTCAGCTGCTCAACCGGGGTCCTACGTCTCCGGCGGTCGTCGCCCGAAGAAGCCCCTAATATCGCCTGACTGCGACACATGCCGCCACACCCGCCAGACGTCTCCCCTCCTCCTCCTCCCCCAGACGTCTCGGTTTTACGATAACAGGAGCGGGCACCGCTCTGTAAATCACTGCTACACGAGGCGGCGGCGCCCCGTGTCACCGTAGTGCCCAGTGGCACCCCGTGTCCCGAGTGACGAGCTCTGCGACCCGGCCGACGAGCCCCGTGACCCGCCATAAACGACCGGCAGGGGTCGATAGGGCACAAAGACGCTGCTCCGTCCGGCCGTCCGGCCGTCACGGCACCGCCCCCGGGGCGAGCGGGGCTCTGCGAGGAGCGGGGCTCTATTTTTTTTTTCTCTCTCTCTCTCTCTCTCTCTCTCTCTCTCTCTCTCTCTCTCTCTCTCTCTCTCTCTCTCTCTCTCTCTCTCTCTCTCTCTCTCGCTGTGTCTTTCTCTTTTTCCTCTTTCTCTTTCTCGTTCTCTTTCTCAGTTACTCTTGCCGTCATCATCGCTCGCTTACGAAGAACAAGAAGATCAGGATAAAAAACACGTGAATTAAGACGATGCTTTAGGATTATGCGTACCAAACTGCATCGCAAATACGACAAAAGTGACAAAAGCTGCGCGCAAAGGAAGTTCATAATAACAACCGCATACAATGGCGACACCAATAAATATTGGATACCTACTGCGCATGCAATGGTAGCAAAAGTCTCCAAGGGAAGCAATATTTGGAAACACACCTCACCTCGGAATTCGGTCGGTATATACGAGTAAACGCGTCGATTAAAAACATAACATATGCTGGCCTGGACCTCATCTTCCTTACGGTGCCCCCTGTCCAGTGGCGGCACCCCAGTCTAAAGAAACTGGCAGGACCTCAGCCTCCTTGCGGTGCCCCCCGCCCAGCCGCGGTGCCCCCGTCCACTGACCTTCGATGTTGGTGAGGCAGCGGCCGTGCGAAGACCGCATCACGGGCTCCACGCTGTGCGCCTCAGCTCCTGCGGCGCTCTGAGCCACCAGGAGCAGGATGAGGAGCGGCGTCAGGGGTCCCCACACGGTCAGCATGGCGAGTGGAGGTCAGAGCTGGAAGCAGAGACGACCACCTGCAACAGAGGGCAGCAGTCAGAGGTCAGTCGATCAGAGGTTAGCAGTCAGAGGTCAGTAGTCAGAGGTCAGCCGGTCAGAGGTGAGCAGTCAGGAGGATGGTCATCTGCACTCAGTTACATCCAAATCCTTCATTTAGGCAGCCACCCTGGTTAATTTTTGGGAGTTTGTTGAAGACAAAGAAAACAAGCATAGACCAAAGCTTAAAACAAAAAGCAATACATGGCGGTAAATAATTCTACTATGAAGTGAAGAATAAATATAGTAAGTACCAATAAACAAGAAAGAAAAAAATCGTTTCACGATTCATTTCACAACAACGAAGTCTCAGTGCCACATCACAAAAAAAAAACGCAGGCTATAGTTAGAAGCGAGTTTTCAAATAAGTCCGAGCCTACAAAAAATATAGTCTCAGTATACCTCAAACCTCAGCCGGTATCAGCGCAACTATGAGCCAACCAGCTAACTACGTGGGCTTTTAGTGTCCTGGGACGGCCTAAGTAGTCATCTCGATTGAGACACGTCTAGAGTAGGCCACCTGTGCTCATAGCACACCGCTCAGTTATCAGGTGGCAAATCAGTCCGTAACACGCAAAATTGTCTGCAGGTATTTCGTCTCCAAACCTTACGAAACCCCTACCGAATTGATGTGGGAAATGCCAGACACAATGCATTCTGAAAGACACCAAACCAATCTCGATAGGTCGCGGTTGCAGGGTTGAAATTGGGTGTCTCCGCGGCAGACATTCGTTGACATATGTCCACGGTGGTGCAACCGCGACATGAAGCACGCGTGGTGCTCTCAGACGACCGGAGAGGAGACTGATGCAACTTCCGCTCCCGTTACATTATCAGAGATCGGGTAATTTCCAGGACCCGGGACAGTTAATTTCTTCTCGTTCCGGCTAATTTACGATAAATAAAGAGCAAGTCACAAGCGGATCAGATCAACAATTGGACTGTCCTCAAGAAAAGCAAAATGTTCTGCGGCTATGTACGTCTAATAAATAGGAACTGAGTAGACACAAAGTGCGAGGAAGGTTCGTTCAAAACATTTACGCACATCGCATTTTCAATAACTAAAACATATGGGGCGTGGCACAAACACACACCATATAACCACTGAGAAATTGCAAATCTTTAAGTAAGCGTCATACCGTCTTCTGCCTAGATCGATCGACATTTTTACCAAAATTTTTGGGATACCAAATTGAGCGGTTAAAGTTTCAGCACGGTGATCCGTATTAACTTGTACGCCGAATGCCCATTACACAAAAGCTAAGGGCAACAATCTCCTAATCTCCCTAACCAGGCGAGGGGTCAATCAATATACTCCTTTATACGACTGTCCTATTGAAAGCACCGTTCATTGACGTTCTCCCCGAGATCAGTCACATTTCGAGCTCACTGCACTCACACTCTGAGCAGCCGGGCGCGCCAAAACAAACTGGGACCCGATTCATCACGCAGGCGCGTCTATTTCCGTACCAACGACCTGTGTCTGGCCTCCCCCAAACATTCCTGGGAGTGGTTGAATGCCTCCCCGAACCCTCCGCACCGGGAGGTGCAGTGGGTTCGCGTCGAGGAAGGGACCGCGCCTCACTGCCTTCAGAAGGAACTACAAATAAGGACTGTGCAATTGTTGTGTCGGAACTGTGTATTTATTGACCTTCTTCTTCCATTTCTAGAGCTTCCAACAAGCAGATGCGAAAAACTTCCGGTTAAGCTTTGTTCTATGTGTGCACGTATAATAATGTGCTATAGGTCAACGGTTAACGTCGGCTAGCATCCTGCCGTGGCCATTTCTTTCTCGTGACTCTAGATAGTTCCGGTGCCGTACCCGACACTCATGCTCCCTAGCCCCGCCATCGCTCATCCCTGTCACCCACATCAGCCACTTCACTACGACCACAGAACGATTCACAGTTCACCGAGCACAGAGCCGAAAACAGAAAGCAACATAAAACCCACATTCCTGTTGCCCACATCACCGACGTCACTTTACGAACATATAGCCGATTCACACAGACGGACCAAAACCGAGCTAGCCAACGGCGCCACCAGCGTCACGGTGTTCCTACAGCACCGGTGCTGGCATGTTCACCAGCTGACCAGAGCAGAGAGCGTGACATCGGGGGAACAGCGGCATACCATCGGCTGGTATTTGGTCCAGAAAAGACCTGGTGACCGCTGGACACTCATTCAACATGCCCAGTTGGCCGCCCGACACTGCGAAAAGATGATGAAAGTCCCTGCACTGTACTTACAGTAACTAAACAATGAGAGCCATGTATTTAATTATTAAATCAAAGGCCTTCTAAAGCTCATGCCCTGGAGGCTAAATCATGTTAGCATGAGCCAGAAAACGACTATGTTTGTCTATTTCTGTGCAAAACTGCGATTACAGAGGCACGTGGTGCTCAAAAGAGGGCTAAAGGGCGATGTTAGCTGGCTTGAAATGGATGGATCTCGCAATATACCCCGGGGTGGTAGGCAAAATTTCAGCTTGAAATGCGTTTCTAATTATATCCAAGACCGCGAAGCATCCAGTACATATAGTTATGACTTATGATACTATAGAGAACGCAGAACATGTTATTGCTATAGTGGGACGCATTCATCATTTGTTATCACTGTTGCTAGAAATGGGACGGTCAAAACCATGGAACTAAAATACGACTGATTATATATCTAAGGCCAGTTTTACCAAAAAATACCAGCCGGCCGCCGAAATAAAATATCCAGCCGAAAAAATAGACGCCACACAGCCACGAGTTTCACCAACAAAAAATTCCAGCCGACTTCGGACGGAAATTATTTGTCGCCGGTAGTCAGCTGATATTCTGTTACGATATCAAATTACGATATGTCAAGGAGATTAAGAAATCATTTAAAGCATGTTTTCAATCAAATTGAAGCGTGATTTCTAATGCAAATGCTATATACATTTCGAAATATTATAATCGTAAATTATTACATTATTTTCAAGAGTAATAACAACAAAGTAGAGCATTATAAACTTTCATATCTATATTAACATTCTGGTGCCCAGCAAAAGCCAATCAATACAAAACTACCAAATTGTAAACGTAGGTACGTCATTCATAAAGGTGACGTAAGGAAGCTTGCATTTAAGGCAAATTTAAGATGGATCTTTTTTCCTGTCAGCCTATTATATTAATTTTTACAATACCTTCAACTTGTTATGTACCTTTTTGTCTGTTTTTAGTCGCACCTTGTAGAAAATCATCGTGTAGACCGAGAACGCAATGTGTGGACCTCCAGCTATGAGGTGGGGACTAGATGAGACCCACTCCAGTGGCAGCGGAACACTTTCAATTAAGGGGACGCTGCCGACTTTTGGTCCCATTCTTTCCATGCAACGCCCATAGGGCTAATATTAAAATGTCAAAATCAAAGGGGGGCACGGTGCCCCGGTGCCCTACCCGTTCCGCCGCCTATGAGTCCCGCTCCCGACAGATCCGGGAGCCGCACCTCTTTCCTAGCTTTCAAAAGAGCGGCAAATAAGCGGTCAGCATTGCTCCCAGAGACGCCACCTGCAGCTGGACGGACGACGGACAGTTCCGCTGCCGAGCGATTGAAGTTGAACTGCGGTGCTACGAGGCAGCTTCGCGTGCACTGCATTAGCACCTTCTAGCGGGAGTAAGAGGGCTAACGAACTCGCCAAGGCCTAGCCTATATATGTAAAGCATTGTGCAAAGGCGAGTGTCTTACCTTAGGAAAATACCTACCCAGATTAACTGCTGCAGCGCGGTCATTGCAGGGCTGAGGGTACGTCGTTCGCTCCGCTTCGGCGAGGTGGAGGTCAGACTGCCCGGCTAGGTGGTTTTAGCCGATATGCAGGCCCCGTTTGCCGGGCCCGGTCGAGCAGAAGGAACGCCACACAGCAAAGAATATTTGCTCCAGGCCCGCTACACTGGTCCGGCTCGTAAGTCGTAACAAATTAACAATACCTGCGCTAGCGTCGTCGACCGTCGTTCGACTGCGCCCAGTACCGCTCAGTGGAGAGTCCTGCCGAACTCCTCTGCGTGTGCCCAGATCATTCGTTGCGCGCGGACACAATCGTCCGACGGAGACCGCTGTGCATTATGATCGGGTGGTCACCACCTTGGTCGCCGGCTTTCACACCCAGCCGAGCCGTCTGGCTACGCCCCAAATGATCGTCTAAGCCTTTCGATTGGTCTAATATCGAAATGTTTGGGAGTTAGGACATGTTAAATCCGTGTTCATGAACAAACATACATTATGCAACTAAAACGCTTTACTTACTTTAACTTTTCTAGGCTGATGACAAGGCATACATCTATTTCATTGCAATATTTCTAAAATGTAAATAAATCATGAGCAATGAGCATAAAAAACAACAGCGATCCACTAGAAGCTAGTGTGGAAATCCACTGACGTAGGTCGCCTCGTACTGGCGCAGCTCGTAGCTCGTCCAGCAGCGCCAGCGTCTCCCGCACCCGGCCGCTCGCCTGCACCATCAGCCGCTGGAAATTGCTGCGCTGCCGCTCCAACATTAGCTTGACCGCCTGGCCGGCCCGGCGGATGCGCGCCGTCCGACGCACGCAGTGTACGTCTTCAACCGCGCCGGGATGTCGTACGACACGACCGCGTCCACGGCGTCCACGTCAATACCGCGCGCTATAGCCTCGAGCACACCAGCGCGGCCATCTCAGCTAGCGCGCGCCGCCGCCGGCACGCCGGCACTACCCCACAGAACTCAGTCACGCGCGCGCCCAGCACAGACAGCGGTAGCTCCAGCTGGTGCGCCACCTCGTTCCAGTTGACCAACACGAGCGAGCGTCGCCAGTCGGGCTGTCGGAACAAATGGTGCATCAGCAGCGGCTTCAGCGGCTGCGGCGCCACCACGTTGAACGACTCGCTCAGCTCGGCCGGCGTGGTGAACCTGCCGACGAACTGACCGGGCAGTGCGACGGCGGCGGCCGCCGTTCCGACCACCAGCAGTCGCGGCTGGAACAGCGACATTCGCTCCAGCTTCTCCGGCCTCCGGGTTCTGTGACAGGGTGGCCAAGAATGGCAGCTTCTGAAGCGGCAGGTGAGGCGCGCAGACGGCGGCGGCCGTCAGCCGGCCGGCGATGCAGGGCGGCGGGCCGTGGCCGCCGCCACCCGCTCCACCGCTTTCAGCCAGCCCGTCTCGGCCATCTCGATCACCCGGTCGGCTTCGTCGATCACCAGGTAGCGCAGGTGCGGTAGCGAGAAGCCCTCGGCGCTGGTTATGTGATCCATCAGCCAGCCGGGAGTGCTCACCACGATCAGCCAGGGAGGCCGGGCCGCGCGGCCCCACCGCCACCAGTTGGCGCCCCCTCGTGCCACTGTGTCTCCACCCAGCAGCTGGACGCAGAGCGGCGTGTCGGCGTCGTACTGGCGGAACACGGCGGGCACCGAGCGGCCGGCCGGCGCCGAGACTCAGAGGTCGGCCGGTGGCAGTGGCGACTCTGCGGCCGCCAGCAGCTCGGGCAGCACGGTCACCTGCACCAGGAACACCTGTTCGATGCCCTCGGCGGCCAGCCGGGCGCGCAGCTCGGGGCAGAGCGCCGGCAGATTGGCCGGCGCCGGCCGCCGGTCGCCAATCGGCTGCAGGTGCGCCAGCCAGTCGGGCAGCGCACGCGGTGCACGGTCTGTCGGCTCGAGCGCTCCACCTCGTCCAGCACGGTGAAGTCGTCAGCGGCGGCGTCTCCGTCCGACTCGGAGGTGTCCTCACTGTCGTTATTGGCGACGGCGGCTGCCGCTGAGCGCTCAGTCAGGTCGGCCATCACAGCAACACTCGCCGATGATTGGCGTCATCGAAACCGTCGGACGATGGTGGATTCATCACCGTTTTTGCAGCAGAGACTGGAAAAACCTCAGCAATAAACAAGGAAAACCTTACAACATGCCACAGCCTGCAATTGTGCATATTGTTATTATATTTCTCACATGACAGAAAATATTGGCTGCTTTAATCTAGGAACTGGCATGAAAAACATAAGCTAAAATCAAGCTACGTGAATTATTATTGTATTTCAACATGAGAATGGGAAAAAATCCTTGTCACTGTCAACATGACCAGTGTAACGGATGGGCTGCATGAACATTTCGGCGCATGATCTGAAAACTCTGTGAGCAGAAATTTCAGCGCTGAGGTGAACAAATAACATTTCGGCCGCAATTTGCCTGGTGCCTCCACAATTTTGCAAAACTAACTCACAATACTTACAGCCAGTTTTAACATGATCCCTGCATGACTCATGCATGCAAGATACACATGCATTCAATATCAGCACAGTGCACACACAACAGTTATGGATTCATTTACATTTTACAACATTACTATTATTTTCTTTTCCTTCAATATTGGCAGCATGACTTGCTGAGCTCAGTGGCACAATCTTATGACAGCAAGTTTGTTCGGGTTCGCAACCATGCAAACTTTGCACGTTTGGCTTCAAAAACAAGCCTTTATACATTTCTTTCATGCTATTCAATTTCTTTTTTTAAATTTACTGTCATTGATCTTGAAAATCTTGCCATTTTGGTCTTAGCCATGTCAATTGCACCTTCCCTATTCCGCACAGCTCAAGTAAGTTCCACCCAAAAGTAGTAGGTAGTGGTATCAGTAGTTGGCACCTTGCATTGTCAAATGTAGCTGAATATGTGAAAACAGTGACATATTTATTTAAAATCTTGAGTCCAATGAGCCTACCCTCTCTGCCTCTCCTTCCAGCATTTGTTCAAGCACCTTCAATTTTCGAAAATGATCTTCCATCATTATTTTCCACTTCCGTGCGACTCGCACGAGCAATGAACTTGTAAGCTGACCACTAGTTAATAATGTGCTATCATCTTGCTGTTGGGTGCTTGTAGCAAAAAGATAATATAAACGAAAAAACTAACACCACAACACCAAACACCAGTCTTGTTGGTTTCTTTTGGTCCTGCCTGGTGACAAAGGCTCTTTCTTTACGCAATATCATCAATATTCCTCTTCTAATCTTGAAGCCCAGATGCTTTACAAATTGGCCATGAATGATACTAAATTATTATATCAACTGGGAAGCGCAAATCACGATAATTAGTAACAAATGAGGCCAATTGTTCCAACACGACATCAAAAAAATAGACGGGGTCGCCCGTCTATTTTTTGGGCTGTTTTTCTACAAATAATGGCGCAAAATAACACTCCATTAATGCCGCATTTGCCGTTGGTGAAACTCACTGGCTATTTTTCTGGCTGATATTTTTTCACGCCGGCGGATATTTTTTCGCCTGGTTGGTGAAACTCGTCGGCTGGTTTTTGACAGAAAAATTGCGCCGGGCTGCTATTTTTCTGTTGGTAAAACTGGCCTCTAGTCCAGTTTTTTATAAATAAAAAGTCATACTTATGCTGATATAGTGTAGATGCTTATCACCACCTATCCGCTCTGCAGTGGCGGATCCAGGGGGGGGGGCAAAATGGGCATTTGCCCCTCCCAAACGGCATAATTTTAACATTACGCCTATGGACATGGCATGGAAAGAATCGATAAATTGTTATGGCTTGCCCCCCCCCCCCCCAAAAAAAAACTCTGAGCTGCAGATCCGCCTCTGCCGCTTTGTGATACTGAATCTGCGTCCCCAACATTTACATGCATCAATTGCAAATCTGGTGGAACTGTAAAACTCAAGTAACTGGACCTGTGAGCCGGGGAATTCTACGTTCATCATCACAACATTGATCGCTATTTACTATTTTCACATACCTGTCCACGAAGAGGCCATGCCAGCTCACACGGTTTTCAATGTCCACCTTCCACCACTCGGCAGAGGACCTGCAACAGAGACTAAGGTTAGTCGCAGATTCACGTATGTATAAATGTGGAGAAACACCGCCATTGGTTATAATCAGATTACAGAGCGAGGGACAAGGGTGGGATGATAGAAGGCAGATTTCTTAAAAAATGGTTCTTAGGAGGGAGGAGAAGGGTGACGTTGGGTACAAGGTCGTACTATGGCGAACTGAAAACTTCGACTGCCTAAGGCGGTGCGGGTGAGTGTACCGGTCGACTTCCGTGACGTATGGCCGTTTCAGTAGATTTACGAGGGAGGTACGGGGGTGAATGGGGGTCGGCGGGACCGCGCGGTCCCCTTTCACCCTCCTTCGACGCGACACGGTCGATCGCCCGACTCAGACTGGCGTCTAGAACCACCAGACGTCTAGACGGCATAACGACATTCTACCTGCATACACTCCCAGCCCATTCGCCAAACCATTTCCGACTTTACGAGAGAACTTATATAACTACTCACGATAACACCGAAGTTATTAAAACTCATCTATGGACACTGACAGGTGCAGCGTGCCACACCCACCGCAAATGTGTTATGACAGATGTATCGAATATGTTCTGCACACGTGCCCACAGCGGTTGACTTTCAGCCCACGCAGGTCCCACACATGAATGATGACTGCGGTCCGTCCCACGAGGCCAGCTTTATTCCGCGGGGGACATCATCATACTCGAATCACGAACGAGTGGCCTGTGATCCAACTTCACGTGGTCCATTCAGGCTGAGAAGCAGCTACCCACTGCCCATCCATACGATTAGAGGCGACACCCAGCGAGTCGCCCGTATACCGGCATGCATATTGCATAATTTGCTAACTCACTGGGAATTTCAGGGCCCGCGGTCTGCATTGCGGTTTTGGGTGGGATTGCTAACACTTAAAGCAGATGAGTGTGGCAACGGATTGTCGGTTCGAAGAAGTCTGGCTAGAGGGTCGTTTTATGGAATAACACAGCTATCGATTTATGGAAGCCTGTAATTATTGTCATGCATGAATAACTGTGAGTAGCATTGTACGGCTTTAATGCAGCGTTCCCAGCGAAATCCGAACACACAGGCACAGCCAATCCATTTACTTTACGAATTGAGTTATGACGTCCGTGCAGCCCAAGTGCAGAACCAGGAAATATAAATCAAAATAAAACGTCTGCAGGATGGCAGTAAGCACACGGTGATGAAGTAGGTAACGAGAATCACTTGTCAAGTGATTCACTAATTGCCCAGCATATCCAGCGGAAATACGCGACAATCCGCTATGCGGGTCTCGTACTGGCTACCGCCATGGTTATCAGAAGACCCGCAGCGCCGGTGCCGAGTCCCCACCCCGCCCCCCTCCCTCCCTCCCCAGCGGAAGACCATGTGAACGTGACGTCAGACCAGCGAGGGCCGTTGTCCGAAGAAGTCCGCTCGGACCACTATCCTTCCGACTCTACTTCCCGGCTCGGGCCAAATCCGGTGTCCTGTTCCTGTGCCCCCCCCCCCCGTCGGAAGCTCTATACGTAGTCCACGTAAGGACTTCGAAGTAACGTTACTTCCACGCATTGACATTCTTGTTTATCCCAATTGATAAATCTTATACACATAAATGCTTTAACCGAAACTAAATGAAATCTGATTTTAATGCTGCAAAGTTTTGAAGGCCATTTGCACTCGAACTTAAACTCGTACGAACTTTATATGTTGTAATAATATGCATGAAAGTGCAATGCTTTGCAAAATATTACAAACCCATACCTACCTATACACGTAATTTCGGGTAAATCATGAGACGATTATATGTAGATGAAAGATATGGTTAGAGATCAATATGTCAAACACTGCATTAAACGTAACGACAGAGGAGAAATGAGGAGACCACCATAAAATGTCTCAAAACAATACCAGCCGCGGATTGACGCACGCAGTTCCAAGGCAGACCAGCACCTTCGGGTGACATACAGACCGGCGCATCGGTAGCCGAATAATACGACAGAACTTGTGCACCACCGTTGGTCAGATTGGCTCCCTGACGGGTTACCGGCGGGTTACCGGACGGTTACCAGCCCGGTAATGAGGTGTCTCTGGAGCAGACAGAGGCGGGCCTCCGCCGACTACCTCTGCCAGCGGCAGAGAATCCGGTGTCTATCGACTACACGGACGGGTGAGCCGAGTCAATTGCCTGTCCTCCCCACTCCGGAAAGTCGGTCGGTTCGGCAGCCCTGCGGATTAGGCCTCACCATGGGCGAGGTGAGCTTTCACTTAGTAGAGAGGTGTGTACTTACTGCACACATCGAACTGGAATGGGCTACACGAGTACTGGGACCTGGAACGGCTTATAGGTAGCAATGAACCTCCGGATGTAACCACGCTATTGGACACTGCTATACATAGATAACCATCTGTAGTTTATAGTTATGTGTGGCTCTGTGTGACCGGCTGAGACGCCGTGTGGCCCAGACGCGCCTGGGGGACGCCGTCTAGCCGACACTGACAAATGTGTCCAAGGGGGGTGTCCTGTTACATATGTGGCGACGGGGGCGCCGAGTCGCGGTGGCAGCGGCGCCGGGTCGTGCGAGAGGGTTGGCAGTGTGGTTGGAACGGTCGCAGGAGAAGCACCCAATACACTCGACTACAAGCTATTTCGGCGCCATGCCTAAAGTGAAGGCATCTGCGAGTGCTAGTGCTGGTGTGACGCCGACGGCAGCGGAGTCCGGCGGAAGGGCCACGTTTGACCCTCGGCTAATACCCGAGTTCAGTGGCGAAGGGACCGGTGCGGACATAGTGGAATGGTTCACCCGTGCCGAGGTGTTGAGCAAGCACCATGGGGTGAATCTGGCGCTCGTGCTGCCAGCACGGCTGACTGGCGGCGCCTTCGCGGTCTGGCTGCAGATGCCAGAGGAGAACCGCCGCTCCGTGGACAGCGTGAAGGACGCGCTGTATGACGCCTTCGCAATGGACCCGCTGGCGGCCTACGACGCGTATGCCAGCCGCCGTCTGCAGCCCGGCGAGTCGGCCGACGTATATCTGGCGGACCTGCGCCGTTTGGCCACGCTGTACGGAGGTGTATCAGAAAAGGCCCTCGCGTGTGCCTTCATCGCTGGACTGCCGGACAACGTCCGCAGCGCGATTCGGGCCGGCACCCGAGCGGAGGCGCTGGACCTGGCCAGCATTCTGACGAGGGCGCGGGCAGTGCTCAGCGACGAGCGCACCTCCACGGTGGCGGCGGCGACCCGTGAGCGGGCCGACGGAACGAGCCGCCGTAAACCGATGGAGCGCAGAGCCAGCCGCCCCCCGCCGCGCTGTTGGGTATGTGACCAGGTGGGTCACATCGCAAGAAGGTGCCCAAACGATCGGGAGACCGCGTCAGTGCCAGCGCCGTCTCCAGATCAGTAGTGCGCACACTCCCTGTCGTGTGGCTCAGTGTGAACGGGCGTAAGTGCCGCGCTCTGGTGGACACGGGCTGCACGGACACGCTTGTCTACGCTGGAGCCTGTTCGGACTGGTCGACGCGCCCGGTCAACATGATGACCGTGAACGGTGGGACGCTGCGCTGTGCGGGCACCGCTGAAATCACGGTGCAGCACCAGGAGAACCGGGCGAGCCTGACGGCCCTGGTTGTGCCCGATCGGCCGCTGGGCATGGATGTGGTGCTCGGCATGTCGGGCATCATGGCACTAGGTGGAGTGTGCGTAAAGATGCCCAACAGTGTGCAATTTGGTGCAACATTAGGGCCGGTAGCGGCAGCGGCGGTGGTGCCGACAGTGGTGACGGGGGCGGTGCCGGCTGTGGAAGCAGCGGCGCCGGCGGTGACGGCGGTGGCGCCGACGGTGGTGACAGGAGCGGCGCCAGCAGCGACGGCGGCGGTGGCGGTGCCGCCGCTGGTGACAGGGGCGAAGCCAGCTGCTGGGACAGCGGCGCTGGCGGAGGCGGCGCCCCCAGCAGCGGCGGTGACGGTGGCGGTGGCGACGCCAGCTGTGAGGAGGGCGGCGCCGCAGGTCGTGGGAAAAGCGGCCGCAGCGCAGAGAGAGACGGCGGCGGCAGGGCCGGTGACAAATGGGGCAGTGGTGGCGGCTAATGCCAAGGCCGCGGCAGGGACGGCGCCCGTTACGGGGGCGGGTCCGGTGAGAGGGGCGGCGCCGGCCGCCAGTGTGGACCGTGGGGACCTGTCAGTGGACGCCGTGGATTTTACGGCCCGGTTTTCAGCGGATAGCGGAGAGTGGACGGTGGCCTGGAAATGGACAGATGGAGAGTGTCCGGACCGCCTTCACAACACTGTCGCTCAGTACAAAGTGCCGGACGCGGCACGACCAGCCTATGACGAGGAGCTGGAACTGTGGGTTCGAGAGGGGTGGCTGCAGCCATATGACGAGCGAGCGGACGGCCCAGCGCGCGGCCTGATACCGCTGATGGCGGTGGAACAGCCAAACAAGGACAAGGTTCGGCCAGTGCTGGATTACCGTGAGCTGAACAGGCACGTCACCGCTCATACAGCAGACGCAGAGGTGTGCGCAGAGCAACTCCGTCGCTGGCGGCGGCACGGCTCACGCTTGGCAGTGCTCGATTTGAGAAAGGCCTACATGCAGCTCCGGCTGGACAGACGGCTTTGGCCATACCACACCGTACGAGTGCGTGGTCAGCTTCACTGTCTGAGGCGCATGTCTTATGGGCTGAATGTAGCTCCGAACATCATGAAATCTGTGGTGCGGACTATACTTGAGCAGAACGAGGCGGTCAGCCGGGGCGTTCTCCCGTACGTTGACGACCTTCTTGTGAATGAGGACGTCATCTCCGCGGAGCAGGTTGCAGAGCACTTCTCCCGGTACGGCCTTGTCTGCAAGCCACCGCAGCGCCCGGCTGACGGCGCTCGAATGCTGGGGCTGCAGGTGAGCTGTTCGCGCTCGGGAGAGCTACAGTGGCGCCGGGACAACGCCGTCGGCGCACCGCCAGAGGTGATGACACGCAGGGCGCTGTTTGCGTGGTGCGGCCAGCTGGTCTCCCACCTCCC